AATCGCCACCGTCGTCGTCGACATCGTCGTCGTCGCCGTCGTCGCCGTCGTCGTCGTCGCCGTCGTCGTCCTCATCGCCGTCGTGCTCGTCGTCGTCGCCGCCGCTGCCGCAGTCGACGTCGTCGGCATCGTCCTCGCCGTGGTCGTCGTCGTCGGCGCCGTTCTCGCCGTAGTCGTCGTCGTCGTCACCGTCGTCGTCGTCCTCGCCGCGGTCGTCGTCGTCCTCGCCGCCACCGTCGTTGTCGTCGTCGTCGCCGTGCTCGTCGTTGTCGCTGTCGTCGTCACCGTCGTCGTCGTCGACGTCGTCGCCGTCGTCGTCGCTGCCGTCGTCGCCCTCGTCGCCGTCGTCGCCGTCGCCGTCGTCGCAATCGTCGTCGTCGACGTCGTCGACCTCGTCGGCACCGTCGCAATCATCGTCGCGGTAGCCCCCGTCTTCGTCGTCGTCGCCGTCAAGGTCGTCGCGCTTGTCGTCGTCGTCGTCGCCGTCGTCGGCGTCGTTGCCGTCGTCACCGTCGTCGGCGCGGTCGTCGCCGTCGTCGTCGCGCTCGTCGTCGTCGTCGTCGTAGTCGTCGCCGTCGTCGCCGTCGTCGCCGTCGTCGCCGTCGTCGCCGTCGCCGTCGCCGTCGTCGCCGTCGTCGTCGCGCTCGTCGTCGTCGTCGTCGCAGGACGTCGCCGTCGTCGCCGCCGTCGCGGACGCCGGCTCCGGCGCCGCCGGCCCGGCCGGGAGGCAGCGGGGGGGTTCGATGCCCCCTCCCCCCCTGAATTGCCACCCACGCCAACGTTCGCCGCCACCGCCAACAGCCGCTGCAGGCGCCGGCGCCGGCCCGGGAGGGGGGGGCTTCGAATGCCGGGGGGGGGGGGGTCGAACATCCCCCCCCTGGAACAAGCGGGGGGGGAGGAGCGGTTCCGGGCCCCCACCCCCAAGCGCCCACAGAACGCGCTCATTCCAGCTTGGAAATCCACTCGGCTACCGGCTACCATTAAGCCACCGAGGACAACGTCTCGATGCCCGAGCCAACTTTGCATAGCCACCACCGTTCTGACAACGCAGGAATCGCAAACGAGAGGCGCTAGCGCGCGTCTGCTGCGCGGCAGCATCATGGGTGCCCGAATACCGAAGCACGCGGCCCGCTCGGCGTGGAATGCCGCGGCCACACCGCAAGTTTGCACTCGTTCACCCGACGTTTGTGGCAGCGCAAAAGTAGCCGCGCCGGCGTGCGCCGAATATGCCCGCTCCGAACGCACGCCGGCTCGGCAAATGCGCAACGCTTTGACCGCGACCCGCTGGAGTTTGCAAAGCAAGCAAACGATACCTCACCGCGGTCTAATTGTCAGGTAACGCCAGACGATGATGATGATGATATTTGTTTCGAACTCTCCCACTGGCGCCGAGAGATCTCCGCGCGGCCCAGGGCCTTCGCGCCCTCCGGTCTGCGGCCAGACTTCAACTTGTTCAAAACGTCCACGGGGAGGCCGCACTGGCGCTGCACCTCTGCGCGCCGGCGGCTGGGCGCTCGGCGAAGGCCTTCTTTCTGCGGCCCCCCGCCCCGATGTGGATTGTGTCACGCCCAACGGAAAAAATCCTGAAAGGCTGCACTGCGCCCGTTCCCTCTTCTGGCGCGTAAGCTTCCAGTGGCGGAAATTCCTTTGCCGGGGTGATGATGTGCGCGGTCACCACGTCCCGCCTGCGGCAGCGCGTCAAAGAAGTCCAGCGCCTGCCAGCGCCCCCGAACATACGCGCGGCGCGAAGCATGCTGCACCGCAACACAACGCCGCCCGCTTTCCAATGGAGGCAAGATAACTCGAGGTCGAGGCAAAACCCGATGCGCTGGAGGAGCGCAGCCTTGCGGTTTCAAAAACCCACAACTACGTTTGCGTTTGGCACAAGGCCGAACTTCCTGCTGACGCTGCGGGGGGCCATAGACAAGCTGCTTTGGTACGGGCACAGGCCCCATATGCAGGACTCGCGCTCGCGGCGCAAACCAACAGCGCGCCGCCGCAACGATTCGAACAGGGGGCTCGACAAAGGAAGCGTCTTCCGACCACTGCCAGTCGCAACGCAGCGGTCGATCACTTCCACGTTGTCAACCATGCGTCGAAATCGCTGCCACTAGAACCACGACTTGGTTGTCGCGAGGAGCTCTCGACGTAATATTGTTGAGAGACCGAACCTTTTGAATGGCCTCGTCCCACATGGCGGAGAAACCACGCGATATCTCAGCATCGCCCGAATCCCGACGAAGTTGCGGGACCAGTCCCCGCAACAACATCTGCAAACCCTCCGCGTACTTGCGCAAGGCGGCGCGTGCAGTCAACGCACATGCAACATGTTGAATATGTTTGGTTCTCGACACTGCTGGCCCAAAGCCCCGCACTCGAAGTGTCACTGCAAGTCGAATAAGTTCGGGAAAGAATTTGCCAACTGCATCCTTGAGCTGGGGGGCTGCGATGCCCAAGACAGCAGAACTGCCAGGGACAATCACGACATTTGCTCGCACAGTCTGACATGGGATATGCGTCGGTCCTTCTGCTGCCACGCCAAAAGCCGCAACCTTGGCCTCTCGCGCACGCTTTACCTGCCGCTGCCGCCGCGCGCGCAGCTCATTGGCAGCATTGGGATCTCGGCCGACCAATGCCAAAAACGCCATGCATCAGGTATGCACGGCCGGCGATGACTGATAATTGCAATGGAACTTCGAGCCCGCAGGGCTACGGAAAACTTGCTCTCTCGAATGAACCTCGCCGCCTTTATCCCGCCACCCTTCTGGGCAGAGGTGGTTTGGACGCTTCCTATTCCAACCCCGTTTTGTTCTGGGGAGGAGTTTGCTCCTCCCCCTATCCCGACCCCATGGGTGATGACGACGCTTTTCGCGAGGGACTGGAGCGCCCAACCTGGCCCAACATTGTTCCAATAGGCTTATAACTTCCAGTATGTAACGTCGCGGCCCAATATCGCTCAAGACGGCCTCCAATATGGATCAGAAAGGCCCAAAGACCGCCCGTGACGGCCTCAAGTGGCCGCGGAGTTTCCCAACGGGCACCTCCGAAGGGTAAAAACCTGTCCAGGACCTGGAGCAAACCCATGGTGGTTGGTTTCTCGCCACTTCGTTTCCAATGAGTTTCCGAAGCTTTAGTCGTGCGTGCAGATAATTGCCCAGGAGAACCCGCAGACAGGCCCTGGAAAGATCCAAGAGAGCCCGAACATCGGCCCAAAGCGCCCCAACACCATTCAAAAAAGAGCAATCACACATGCATTTTCGGGCCTCAGAAGGGGCGGGGAAGTTGGGGGTTCCCCCCCCTTTTCATCCACGTCCTCCAAGCTGGCCCCAAGAGGGCAATCCCGGCTCCGAAGAGGAACCCAAGAGCCCAACGAGAGGGTCCCGAACCGCCCACAATCACCTTTTGATTTGATCCTGGCAATGCCAAACTGTACACTTACTTCCGCCGCCCACAATCACCACATGAGGGCCCCAAGATGGCCCCAAGAGCCCTCCAAAGGGACCCCAGACCGAACGACCCACAAGTACCTTTGTGCTGAAATCGACATCGTCGTCGTCGTCGTCGCCTTGTCCCCCATCTGTCCCGCCCTCTCCCCATGTTCTTCCTTCTCGTGCCCCCCCACCTTTTCCTCCTCCGTGTCCGCCTGCCCTTCCACCCCTTTACGGTTCAATCGAAATTGTGCGCAAATGCGCTCCACCAAACGTATCCTCATTACCCGCGCCATCTTCCACCTTCTGCTCATAACCCCTCCTCCCGCATCAATCCTCCAACTCCTCGTTGTCCTGTTTCGTCTCCCGCCTCATCGTCCTTTTCCGCCATTACTCACTCGACAGGGAAGCGAACGCATCTATGATTCACTGTTGGGTCTACTCGGGCTGGTCAAAACCTGCGATTAGACGGCTCACCCAACTCTTTGCGCTGCTACATAATATTCCTCTTCTCTGATCGAGGCAACTCGCGTGGGATCGTTTCTGTATGAGCTGGCGGGGAAACGCGAAACGTCAAGGATATTAGATGGTCGCGCGTGTGCGTTTTCCTTGTTGGGGGAGACGCTCTTCCAACGGAATCAATCGACTGCGACCGTGCTCGAAATTCAAGCCGGATCGTTTCTGCATATCCCTCTCCACTCCCTGCCTCGACATCTGCAATCGCCCGATACCGTGTCCTGCTCGTGGTGCTGTTGATGCGTTGTGGCTCCTCTACTGCACCCGCTGTACTGTGTTTCTGCCGCTGCTCGCAACGTCGCCCTGTCGGCGGCGCACGGCGCTCGACCTACGATGCCGTCGGCGGGACGACGCGATCTGAAACTGCGGCCGCCGACTTTGCAACCTCGACAGCTACCGAACCCCCTCGAAGACGTGGATGCTCCTGTTTATCCCCCAAGAGTCCACATCATGCGTGAGTCATGCGAACGTTCCCTGGACGGGCGAAGGGATGGCTTGCAGGGCGATCGACAGGCGCGGCTGCGAAATACGAATAGAGCGGAGCCGAAATCCAAATACGCAAAGCTAAAGATCCTCATTGCCGCCCAACAATAGCAAAAAAAACTAGAGAACGGGATGCTGGATAAGGCCACAAATGATCGTCGTCTAAAACTATGAAAATATTGCACTCCAGCGGATAGCGTATCGTTCCGCTCCGCGGGGAGGGAGGCTGGGAGATGCTCGGGACGTTGACGCGTGGGAACCGGGAAGCGCATAGCGTGTTGCGCCGAAGCGCGATGGGCCAGAACCCGCGGAGCGACACGCTACGCCGAAGGTTTTGCTTGCACGGAAGAGCGGTCCTCGAGCCGAGCAGCGGCGACAATTTGAGCGTTATTCGGCGCTGTTGGGCGCTATAGGACAATATTGTCTGGAGTTATTGAGCGCTGTTGGGCGCTGCTAACCGATACATGTTCTCTCCAAGGCGAGCAGAAGCTTCCACGATTGACGACTTGAGAGAGGCGCTTTTCGATCCTCTATCATCGAGCGGAAGCGGCGATATGGGGCGGCTCCCAGCACCTCGTCGGCGCCCATCGGGGTCATGGGCAACGCCGTCGCGCCGGCATCCAGGGCGGCCGTGGCGGGCACGCGGAAGACGACGTCGCTGGCCGCGTTCCCGTTTGGCCATCGGCGCGTCGTCGCCGCCGCGGCCGTCGTCGCCGCGGCCGCCACCACCGCCGTCGTCGAGCCGTTGTCGTCGCGGTCGCCGTCACCGTCGTCGTCGCTGCCGTCGTCGCCGACGTGGCGTCGTGGTCGTCGACGACGATGTGGTAGTCGACGTCGTGGACGTCGTCGCCGTCGTCGCCGTCGTGGCCGACGGAGGAGGAGGAAGGGAGAGGGGGGAAAAAGAGGAAGGATGATTTTGGATTGCGACGATGTTGAAGCATAAAACCTGTCAGCAAAAATTGGCACGCAGCTGGCAGAGATAATTGCGGACACTCTGCACGGGCACCTAAGGTTAAATGACAGTCAGCGCACCGTTACAATTAAACCTGTCAACAATGGTCAGGTCAGCGGCAGCGGCACAGAAGCGCGGGGCGGCCCTGGACAGATGCTGGCGACACGGCCCTGATCGCCAGAACAATTCAATCCAGACTGTACACACGCAAGGGAAAGAGGAGCACGCGCAGCACTCGCGCGCGTGGACCGAGAAAAATGTCTCGACAACTCCTCTGCAACCGCTCCTCCGCTCCTCATCCTAGCGGGCGGAGGCACGGAGTACATGGCGGGCGATGGGGGGGGAACACAAACCGCGCTCTGACCTGAAAAGCAAAACGTGGCGACTCGCGTATCCTAGTGGCTCGACTGTTAGCAGCGGCCGCTCGACTCTCCCTCGAGGGCACCCGTCGTGGACGGTGCGGGGCGGCGGCCGCGCGCGGGCGCGCGCTGCTACTCTACCGCCACGCTGGGCGCCCCCGCCCCTGGAAGCGGGGGGGCAAGGCGAGGGGGAATCGGGAACGAGAACTGAGGAACAACTCAAACAGATGGCCCGAGGCCATGGAAGTGAGAAGGCGTCTGATTCGTCGAGCTGGCGCCGACCTGGGCGAGGCCGGCTGCTACGCGCATCTGCTGTTGAACTGCCCCGTCCTCCAAACCTGACCGGCTGACCAACCCGACTGAATTTGCTAGTCTCGCACTCCAAAGCCGAAATCTGGCTACGACGTCCAAGGGGGCATCTGCTTGTCTCGGCGGATCCTGCGCCGCACTCCGCTGCCTGATCTCGCCCGCGAGCCCCGCTGGCCGTGGAAGGGGGGAGGGCGGAAACGAAGGGCGCCGCGCCACCTGGCTGAGACGCGCGGCCCCCTTCGACAGAGGCTAAAACTTCAACATTATGTTGTTCGTCGGAAGCCTCGACAGGGCCTGGACCCCTGGGAATCGCCTCAAGGTCGAAAACGGCCCCTGGCTCATGCGCGCCCTCTGCGTCTGATGGCGCGGGCGTCCGCACGGACCCGTCCTGGAAGGGGACAGGAAGCGAAATCTGGCGCCCAGGTCTCGTCTGTCCCGAGGTACAGACCCAAGTCTACATAGAACGCCCTAGGACCCGCGGGGCAGCTCCTCCTCCGCCTTCACCCTGCAACCATTCCGCTGCTTCACATGACGCGCGCACGTGGTTGACTGCGCCCATGATACCGTCCGCTATGACCTGGCACAACGCGAAGATGCATGTCTTCTGTTTGGCAGCGCGCCAATATTTGCAAGCCCAGTCGATCCCCACGAGCACCTCATGGGCCCCACGTCCACGCGGGCAGCGCCCTCTCCCTGGCGTCTCGCATGAAAGGTCGTGCGATGCGCCCATTCGTAGTGCCAGCATGCGCGCGGGAGCTCGTGCTACCTGACCGCGCCCACACTGATCAAAGTCGGTCGTCGTGGCCGCTGGGGAGACAGCGACCGCCCTGAGGGCTGGGCACGGAAAAGAGCTGACCGCCTCTGCTTTCCAACTAGGCGGCATAGGGTGCCCCATCCAACAACTGGTCCCGACTGTCAAGTGCACTGCAAAAAGCTCAACCATAGCCCCTAGGAGTTTGCCCCCCACCCTGAGCTGTTCAATCTGTCGCGGGGTCAAAGCCACTTGGCCCCAGAAATCGCAATGGGAACGCAATGGTGAGGGCCCCATGTCGAGGGCCCATCGGAGTGCTGACCGCGTCTCACCTGGGGCCCCCCCGCCTGACAACACCGCCCGACGTGCACGAATGCGTTCCTTCCAAACCTCCCAAATCTCCAAGGACTCACGACGCATCATATTGGCTAGTACGGGAGTGATGGCGATGTCGATCAACAATACACAGACCGACAAATCCGTCATGTATTCAGCTCAGTCGGGCGATGCCTGAATGTCCCCTGGCCGTCGCCGTCCACAGTAGAGGTTGGGAATGAAGCATCCTGAGCGACGCATGGCCGATGGCAATGTATGCGCAGCCTTGCGCTGCCTTGCCTGTGTACGTGCTGCGCCGGTGGGCATGGGGCAGTTGGGCAGTCCTCCTCTAGATCAGGGGAAGGCGGAAAGGGTAGTGGGGCTGCGCAAGCCTCCTAATGATAGATACGGGTCGCTTTCCAGCAGCACCTGTTCTGCATCGCCTGCGGGGCCAACTCCGCAACGATACTGGCAAGCTGTGAAAATTGCCCGAACACGCGTGTAGTAGGTACAATCACGTGTCGCGTGGTATGCACACATGGTTGGTATGCTTAGCCATTTGTGTATTCTGGGGAGGTGTTTGAAGATGGTAAGCAGGGTTGTCCCTAGTTAGTATGTCGGCGAGTAGGCATCTGGGCGAGTCGATAGATAGGTGGTCGACCAGATGCGGCCGCGCGTTGAACTTCAGTACGGCAAATCCGGTCGAACCCTGCAAATCCCCGAGCAATCGTCAAGGGTTGTTGATGCATGCGTGCTATGCGCGTACGCGACGCGCGGTGACGAGCAAAAACCTCACCGCACCAAAGGCACTCCATCTGTGTCACGGCTGCACTCGCTGGCGGCTGCACTATGAGTCCACCCTCGCCTGTGTACACACGGCGGGGCACTCCCGCAGCATGCACCCCTGCGAAGACAAGCGACTCGGTGTGCTGCGCCAATGCACATCTGCTCTGATGCTGCGCGCGCGTGCAATCCAAGGCGTAGGCTGCGCTTCCATGCCAGTTGACTGCGCCGAATGAGCGACTCCCCAGAGCTGAGGTCATCGGCTGGGAGTGGGAGTGGGAGATCCTGACACTGTTTGACTGACCGTCGCAGTTGTGTAAGGTCCTGAATCCACTGGCCCATGGTCGTACGCCGTCGTTTCTGCTCATCGTCGCTGGCTGCACTCCACTCCGCTGAAACATGAGCAAAGGCCAACTTAGGCCTTGTATGGTAGCCTAGCAGCCCGTAGCGCGATATCTGTGGAGGGTCTCTGTATTTGGGCCAGGGCCACCTTGTCAGAAACCTGGAAGACCTCCCCTTGGAAGCGGGCACGCGCGGCAGCACGGTATATCTTCATGATCTCTACATACGCTAACTTGGCCTCAGCTGTCGCGAGCGTAGGCCAAGCCCCTGCATTGCATAGTCGCCCTGAACTGACGAGACCGTCAGCAAGCAAACGTCCGCGATGCAGGGAACGACCACCAGCCGCAAAGACGCGCCTACGTAGCACTTGGAGAGGGCGCGGTGGATGCAGCACGATAACGCATCTCTGACGTCATCGACGCTCCTGCGTCGGACACCGAGCCCAGATGTATGCAGTTGCGCACTATGGGCGCGCTCACGGTTCCAAGCATGTCCGACGTGCCCGTGATGTGCCCGCCATGCTCGCGCCATGCTGCATGTCGCGTCTGCTGGCACCCTGGCCGCGCCACAAAATGAGACCTGCCGTCTTGGACGGCCCAACGTTCAACTTATGCCCCCGCTATGCAAATGTCTCCGACACAAACACCACTGACCTGGACAGTGCACGCATAAACTGCGCGACAGGCATGATCCGGATAACTGTTATATCGTCGGCGCATGAGATGTCAATCAGGGGGGCCTCTGCCCGGGGCTCTCCAATGGCACCATGCATGAGCTCACCTAGGGTTATGGGCCTGACTGTCCGAGGCAGTGAGTACGGATAGCCTTCTTCATGCATACGCTCACGCACTTCCCGCATACAGCTGGCCATCTGCATCTCAAACGATACATCCGCGAGTGGTTGTCCTGGGAAGAATGACCGTTGACGTAACGATACATCCGCCACGGCGAGGTCGTCGAGGTCGGTTTCGCGGCGGGCGCGCACCACAGGTTTCCGAATGACCCTGTGGAAGACTTGCACGACGTCCAAGAAAAAGCGCCCCAAAAAACAGCTTCTTGAGTTTGGCCAGCGCTTGGGCCGCCCTCAGCACAAGGGACGCCCGCGCGGCCCCTCTGCATGGTAGTCCCCCGAACTGTGTCTCCCTAGCCTCTGCGTCCAGGAAGGGAAGCAAACGGGTCCGTAGGAACCGTCCGGAGCCCTTGCCAATCTGAGACGACACAAGGATGATTCTGGAACTCGCACACTGAAAGGGCTCGGCTAGTCCGGATTTGACGAGGCCGCGGTAGCAACCCCCTTTCCAGCGTACCGGCCCCACCAAGGCCAACGCAAACTTAAGTTGCAGGGGATAAGAATATTCTGCGCTGACCCTGGGATGGGCCCTCACGAGGCCTCCTGCAAGTCCATCACATCCAGGCGCCGACTTCCGAGCTTGGCGGCACGACCACTGAAAATCAGAGAGTGATGGGGACGGCAGCAAGACAGACAGGATCGATCTGCATGCGCGCATACAGCGCGCGTCCAAAGTAACCTGCGCACATGGCCACGTCACTGACGGGTTGGGCGGCTGCCAGCTCCAATCCTGTAGAATATTGCTGCCATCTTCGTGCTACCAGCTGCTCAGATACCACTGCTCATCCTGTCAGATCCTGCAACGCCAGTAGCATGCACTCAAATCGCCGTCGCTTCGAGCCTGCACCCACGCGTCGCAAGGCTGCGCGCGCCTCTGCAAACTGACGGCGGTCCTAGGCCGAGCGCACCACCTTTGCTGTGTCAGCGCAATGCCATGCTGTGTCCTGCCCAGTAGACTGTCGCATGACGCACGTGGCTGCTGTGAGAAATACGCAAC